CTACAGTGCGCGAGTCGGGAAATAAACTCTCTTTAAAGAAGAAATTTCAAAAAATAGACTTGAAAAACAAATTGTAAATATATAATTTTGTCTCAAAAAATTGCAAGTACAATATTTTAGGTTTAATTTAAAAAGAAAAATCGTAGAAACAACTGTAGGGTACACAAGATTAAAAAATTTTATACTTTTGATTCGATATTGACAGTGAAGTTCACGCTGACATTGATTTTATCATTGACTTTGGCTTTGATTCATGAAACTAGGCGTTAGAAAAACTTATAAAATTCTATGTTTTACACTTGAAATAATTTATTTTTCTAATAATAGGAAGTATATACAAAAAAATTGTTCCGTACCATGGTACAACTATTCTTTAAAAGAATATATTCTTTTAAAGTAAACATTCTATCTTGTAATTCTTACTATTTTCTATATAGATAAAAATCGTTGGAGACTCAAGTATACTACCCAAAAAATTGGTTTGAAAATGTCTTATACACTGGCTAAAGTATGTATCACTTAAAAGTGATATGCTTGACTTATTTGTGATTCCTGTTCTCGAGCCAGCCATATAAGCCACTATAGACTCTTGGAACCAATTCAAAGAATAAGTACTTTAAAATATTTGTATGATCATAAAAACCTGTTATAAAAGATTTACGTATAGTTTATCATAAAGAAAAACTTTTGAACGACCAAAAAATACAAAAATTTATCGAAATTCAAAAATATTAAATACTTTCGAAAATATGAAAAACAGTGAATATTCAAAAATTTGTTCGTTAAATAATTCGTCTATACTTGATCTTTATAATATATAAATATTAGTCGGTTTATTTTACTTGGTAGATTTAGAATCAAATCCATATCATTGGATATAATCTTCTCAAATTTATGATATGTGGTGAGATCATCCATAATTATCGACCCAATTCATGATCATCATTTTACAAGAGTTATTTTCCTTTCTTTATACTGTTATTAAGAATTTCTTATGGAAATAAAATCGGCTACACTTTATAAGAAGAAATAATCACAAAAAATTGAAAAATTACCAATAATTAAGAAACAGTTCATAAAAATATTAAAAATTAAAAATATAAGTATAGCCGTTATCGAATCGACGAAATCAACGAATTGCGAAAATCTATTAATGATGATTCGTATTGATTTACCCGATCCGGGAATTCAACCTGACAACGCCCCACTCTTACCTAATCCTTATAGACACAAATTAAAGTTAATAAATTAAAAAATAATTTGCGGTAGAAACTACGTGGAAATGGAAATATATATATATTTATATACTTTTCCCATGGTCCAAAACTAGAAAAAATGAAAGGCTTTGTGTTTATATAAGTTTTTAAAATAAAAAATTAATTTTTGTTGTCGCCATTCTTCATCTATATGGGATTCGCTCAGTAGCAATACTTTGCCATATTCCATTTCTACGCGGATATATTAAGAAGACAAGTGACATTCTCTAAAAAAAATATCACCTTCAAGGTAGTCATATCATCGCCTGCAGTTAATAAAAATTCAAAATCAAATTTAAGAAATCAATAAAGATTTGATAAAAACCGTATAACCTCTAATTGCATTTGCTTCACTTCTTTTGTCACATTTTCAGATTATGATATATAATACTTATGCTATTTAGAAATATAAAACAATGAAGTGAGTAAAAAGTATACATACATACAAAAGTAACATCGATTACAAACTCAAATGTCATATGTAATTTTAAAAACAAGCAGAAAAAATGCGTTAAAGACTTTCCAAGATTCATTGACGCATTAAAAAACCGCTGCTAAGTTAAAAGATGAATTAATTGTGTTCATTTCATGAACACTTTGCTGTCTCATGGACATTTTTTTCGATTGATTTACTTTATTTTTTTATTTCATAAATTTTTATTACAATAAACACTTCTGCTTTTTATAAGATTATTTTTACTATATAAATTTTAAATATATTTTCAAAAAATTTTTGGTTTTTAAAACAATAATCATTTCGTATTTCTAGTCGAATTAGGTAAAAAATAGGTAAATCAAAGCGATTTTTAAAGGTCTACAAGTTATTTATAAGACTTTAAAAGTTACTTCTACACTTTAAAAAAAATTTCAAGAATTAGTTTTTTTTTACAGTTTTTGGTTTTTGAAATATCAATACTTTCGTAATTTCTAATCAAATTAGATTCAAAAATAGGTCAACCGAAGCGTTTTTAATGCTCTACAAGTAGGTTATGCGACTTTTGCAGTTACTCCTACATTTCTTAATAGAATTTTTAAGAAAGTCTTATTTTCAAAAATTTCTTATTTTTAAAAGTTTAATATCTCCGGCTAATATGGACGAAAAATGTTCCATGAGGGGTAAAAAGATGCATCTAACAAATCTCTATAAAATTAGGGAACAACATTTATAGGTGTCGTGACATTTTTTTAAAATTATCCCTAAAACTCTTCATAATCTCGAAATATTTATAAAAATCTAATGTTTACACACATGCGGAATGATATTTTTTAAATATGTGTTTTTTGAATTCCTGAGGTCAAATTATATCAATACATGTCAAAAAATCGAATTTGAAAAATTTTGGTATTACAATACTTCCTTATACACTGAGAAAAATTGCGTTTAATCGAGTGGTAGAAATAGCTCGGTTAAAAAAAAGTATTTAAAAATAAATAAGATATGGTTAAAAGAAACTAAGTTATACTGATTATCACAACCGAGCTGAGATGGTTAAAACACATCTGTTAAAAATAATCCTCCAAAGGATTGTCTTAACCAATCTGAAATGTGCATAATGGAAACAAACTTTCGTGGTTGTTGTTACCTATCTGTTTTTTGAATATAAACAATTACTATGCGATTAATATTAACCGAGTTTCATGTAATTACGTTGAGTTGTGAGATTTTAACCGAGTAAACATATCTAGGCGACATATCGTCAGTCACAGTCAGTCAGTCACTTCGTTTCGTCTTTTCCGGAGAGTCGTGTTGTTACAATTCTGGTTTCTACCGACGCGATACAAATTTTTATTGATTATGTTACAGCAGCCATCAAATATAGAATTCATCTACAATAGATACATAAAAATAAAAATGAAATGGAGAATATTAAACGCATTAAACCTTACATCCCCGATGACATATTACACGATGCACGTTAAAGAGGTTAAAATAAGTAGGTATTTTATTCTATTTGAAAGAGATTTGTTTGATTATAAAAAAGAATTTTAATTTACAGAAAATTTTGGTTATCTTTAAATTAGAACATAATTTTTTAATCAAATAGATTTCTTTTCAATAAAAGAAAATAATTTTTATCAAGGGAATATTTTATTGATCAAAAAATATTTTAATCGAGTTGGGTGGTTTAAAATTAATTAATCGGTTTCTTTATTATAACAGAGCTAATTGACTACAATATTCAAGTTTATATTATTACTGTAGCCTTTTTAGGTGGCTACAGTAACCAAGTAAGTTAACTAACGTTTACCGAGCATTAATCATAAACTGTTAGTTACAGTAACAGAGAAAGAAGCTACCGTAACCGAGTAGTCTTAACTAGTTTCTACCGAAATTTTTAATCGTATTCGATCGGTTACTGCAAACAATTCACATTGCAAGTGCTATATTAGCAGCATCGCTCGGTTGTTTTTAACTAAAACTTGGTTATATTTAACCTTTTATTTTTCTCAGTGTAAAGGAAGCAATGATGATTAATAGATCTACATCGTGATTAGATAAGGTGGATTTCTTCTCAACTAAATATTTCACTTTGCATAAGTGGATATCACTCATTAATAAGTGAAAACAAGTTCACTTATTCATAAGTAAATTCCACTTATTAATTAAGTGTGAAAAAAGTTGACAATTATTAAATAAGTGAAAATTTAATTTCTTCAAAATATCGAATTGAAAGTCAAATTACAAATTCATTCCCCTGATTAAGGTCACGTTATTCAGTGTGACGTATTTCCATAGTAAAGCACATGGGGCACAAGACCACTGAATAACATGACCTTAAAAAAAATTCGAAAATTCGAAAATATTCTATTTTTTTACTCACTTTGTTGATTTCTGCCGTCGATGTGATGGTAAAGCAGTTTTTGCGCTTACAAGATGAATTACATTTCGTCAATAAAAAAAAGATCCCTTTTCAAGTTCCTTTCCTTTCAAACCTCTCAGCTCGATCTGAAATAAAAAAAAGATTAAAAAAAAAACAAAGAAATTCAACAAAAAGGAAAAAATATTCCAATACAAAGTCTCGCTAAGATAACAGAGCCCAAAAAAAGCAATTTTAGGGGAAATATTTTTTCTATACAACCATAAGAATGAATTTTCCTTTTGCGTAGGATGATAAAACTTGCGGGGAAATATTCCACGCGCTGAAAATTCAGCTGGAAACCCCTTCGTTGCAATAAAACCCCTTGAATTTCGTATTTCCCAGGCTCTCGAATTTCCTTCTCTAGTATATATGTGTATATATACATAGAGAGAGAGAGAGAGAGACAGAGAGAGAAAGAGAGAGCGAGAGAGTAAAACCAGAAAATGGGAAATTCGTAGGGGACGTGACTCGAGGCGAAATAAAGCCTCATGCACGTTTCGTTGGTGTACGCATTACCCTCCATCCATATACACACAAGTTCCCCCCCCCCCTCAACTCCCCGACACATCCGTGGAAGCCCCTTTGGCCGATGAGTGCTGGCGCCCCTTGGCCCCTCTCGAGTTCCCCTCCCCCGCTCCCCTCACGGCTTTCGGTTCCCTTTCCCGTTCTGCCACTCTTGCCCGCAACCCCCTTTCCGCCCGTCCGCCACTCTACCCATCCTTTGGGTTACCCACCCATCGGCCCCTCGGTGTTCCGACGGTGACAGACCCTACCTTACCGTTCTATGGCAGGGGGGAAAGCGCGGGAGGATGAGAAGGGGTAACAGGGACACGAGGTGGGGCAAATGCCTGTGTGTATGTGTGTGGGGGGGGGTCGCCGTCGCGTCGCCAGTCGCCAGTTTGCCATGAGCGCTCGTTACGTGAGGTTCTTTGTATAACTCCTCTCTCTCTCTCAATATACTCCAAAAAGCGCTCAGCGCTCTTTAAAAGGATCTTTAAAAAACATTCTCATCAATTCTCCAAAAATAACACCCCCCCCCCCACAACTGGATTATACTAGTTTTGGATTTTCCGAGAAGTCAAAAAAAAAGACTGTGACAACAAATAAAAATAGTGAACTTTTCTGGAATTTTTACTTCACACGTTTTAGAATTCAAAGAAAAATAAAAAGTTCGACAACCTGTGCAAAAGGGGGAAAAAACTTGTGATATCATCGAAAAAAAAACAGTGAACGAATTTTTAGTGTTTATTCGTTTTTTGAAAAAAAAAAGAAAAATAGTGGGGAATTTTTTTTGTTGCTTTCTTTTTTTCGGCATCATCGAACTAAAGATATATTAGTTGCGGTGTTGAGGCCATGTGTTAAAGACAAACGGTGGCGGCACTTGTTTTGCTCAGCTTTTGTTTTGCTCGCGAACCGGGAGCGCGTGATTGGTTGCGGTGCGTCAGAGCGCGGACGAGAAGCGGAGCGAGGATTTTCCGCTCAACGCGAGGACAGGCCTGAATATGTCCGCGAAGCGAAAGGCCACTGCCATCATGCAACACCACAAGGTGAGCTCTCCCTCTAACTTAAACACATTATGAGGTTTTTGTTTTCTTTTTTACTCTCCTCTTGGTACACACATTTCGCGTTGCATTTCTATTCAACAAAATCCCCCTCCCCCTATATCCCCCCCGCCTCCCCTCTGTTACCCGTCTCTCTCCCCCTTTGTCACATCTCATTCCCTTTTATACTAATATGCATGATATACAAGTTTCCCGAGTTTTTCTCTCGCACATATGTTGTTTTTTTTGGAGTATTATCCAAGGGGGAAATACTTCTTCTCGAAATAAAGTGGTCAACTTTGTATTTTAGGTTCGAAAGATATTTTATTTTACAAAGATTAAAAATTAATTTTAAAGATTTAATAAATAAATTTGCATAATAATTGAAAATTTACATCACTTGGATTATTTGGCCAAAAATATCTTCTAAATTATTAAATAATAAAACAAAAAACTTATTCTTTTATAAAAATAAAAAAAGACTTTTTCTGAAATTTTTAATTAAAAAGATTTTTTTTTGATAAAAGAGGAAAATTAAGAATTGTCACGTCACCGTTAACCAATAATAGTAATAATAATAGTGGTCATAATGATAACAATAATATTAAAATTAATAATAACAATAATAATTATTATTTATATATTATGTTGATTAAATAGTTTGAACTAATAATTGAATTGTGTAATAACAAATTGTAACTTTTTATTGTCAACGAAATTGTAATAATAAATAGTAATAAATTGTAATTAACAAATAACAGAATTGTAATAATGATAGTAACAAGTTGTAATTAACAAAAAACAAAATTGTAATAAATAATAACAAATTATGATTTACATATTATTCACTTGCGTTTTATTATTTCAATTTAAACAATTTTATTTTTTCTGACAAAAAAGTTTGTAAAATGACCTTGAAGTACAAAAAATTTAAATAATTGTTATATTATTGTATTATATATAATATATACTTTTATATTTTATAAGTTTTATAATAATTACATATTAATTATAGTTAATAATGATATAATAAATAAAATAAATTCTAAAAAAATTTAAAGTTTTTGTGAATTAAAAATTTTTAATCTAACAGGACTTAAATGATTTTTATTACTGTTTGGTACTGTCATTAGATATCCATTTTTTGTTAAATAAGTCAGTATTCATATTTTTGTCCCAAAAAAACAGAAATAAGGTTAATAAATAGCGTAAATTAGGAAATTTTTTTCTCAATCTTCGCCGGACACCCTGATAATTAAATAATTTAATTATACAATTATATTTATAAATCATTAAAAATTATATATTATAATATTATTATTATTATTATATAAATATATATTATAATATTATAAAATAATAAAAAGTAAATTTTCTAATCTACCACAAAAAAGGTCTATTTTTTGATATTAAATATTTCCTTGTTTATACTACTGTTATTAATTATTGAAATTATAAGTGTCACGGTCCGAAAAAAGGTACCGAAAAAGCAAAAAATTTGAGGTTATGTTTTAAATTTTTTGAGTAAAAATACAGAAAGAGAAACAATTATTAATTAAAAATTATTGATCTTAAAGTCTTTATTATATCCAAAATATTCAATGAAAATTTGTTTTAAATTCAAATAATTAAAAATAAACTTTTAATCAAGATAAATTTAATACGAACCTAACCTATAATTCGTTTGCTTCTTAGGTACATTTCTTGGGAGCGCGTCACATAAGATAATTATAATTGTTTCATTTACTGTCGTTGTATAAAAGTTCAAAATTATTTATCTCGAATTTAATTAAATCGTTAATTTTAAAGAAACCCACCTCTGAAAATCCTTAAGAGTCATTGTCACATAAAAAAGCAGGCGAAAATAACCCTTACTATTTTTAGAGTTTAGTTCTTTTTCTAAATTAGTTTTTTTCATAATTTCGAAACATTTTTAAAATAATTTGGAGTATTAGTCTTAAATTAATTTATTCTACAGAGTTGACAGTAAAATTTAGTATTTTTTTTTAAATCCAAACCACTCCAAAGTATTCGAGTGATTACTGAATGATAAATTTTTAAAATCCGTCCACCATATTTATATAAAATTTTAAAAATAAATTAAAAATAAAATAAAAATATAATTTAAGTGTTAGTTAGGGTCGGTAAAGTAGAATGCTCCCTAACCCTTATAGTTAAACCTCAAAAATTTAAATTTATCATAATCTAAAATTTGTTAAAAACTCGTTTTTTCCGCACAATTTTGTACCTATAGTTTTAAATAAATTTTTACACACCTTCAGTAGTTATACCTTACTAAATACTGAAAATAATCCTTTTTATCAAAAAGTAAATCTATAAGGGGCCTTTCCAAAAATATGTAAAGCTTATAGGGGGAGGGTAAAATTTTCAAAAATAAGCGTTACGTTTTTTATTTGTTTGAACAGCCTCTAATGTGGAAATTCATCCGTGAAAAATTCAACGTTTCGGAAATAAAAAATTAAAATTTTATTAATATTTACAAAAAAGAAATTAAGCAACAAAAAAATTCTATATTGAAAAATCGATTTTTTCCAGTTCATTATCAGAGAAGAGAAAAAGAAGTTTTTTTTTTTGAATGGAGAAACATTTTTGATTTATAGGGTCGTGTCAACATTGGTATATCGATAAATTCATGAAGCGTGCACTTCAGAGGTTAATATTTTGTTTTGTGCTTGTTCTTCCGTTTTTTTCATGTTTTATTTTATTCTCTCTCTCTATTTTTTCTTTTTTTTATTTTTTCACTCTCTTTTTTTAAACCCCCCTCCCTTCTTCGACCAAATCACGTTGGCAGCTACCAGAAGCGTGTTTCATCGATGAAATACGAGCCGCACGAACAATTTGCACCGAGAGCGCAAATGTGCCGCGGGTAAATGTATATATCGACAAACTTTAAAATTCCCGCCGCGAACTCGAAAGCACGCTGCTGGAAAAACCTGTGCCCCCCACCCCTTTTCATATACGTTTTATATATATTTCCGAGTACCTCTAGCAATTGCTGAAAATAATGTTCGAATTGAATGCAAAGAGTGGAAGTTCACACAAAAATAATAAAAAAAAAATAGAGAATTTTTATTCAATTTTCAACGACATATTATCATTAAATTTCATGGAAATTGATAAATTGATTTTTATTAAATATTTTTAGTTTATTTATAAATTTTTTTGTTTTTTATAATGATTTAAAGTTTTCGAGGTGAAAAGGTTGACATAATTTTTTCAAAAAGTAACTTTTTTTATTAAATTACTATATTAAATATTTAATTATACTATTCAGAAGTTAAAAATTTTTTAATTTTAGACACTCTTTTTTGAATCTACTTTTTGTTATTCTCCATTTAGTAACGAGTTGAAAATAATAAAATCATTGAAAGTTATCGATCGCGACGCGAATGAACCGTGTGCGGAGGAAGTTGAAGATCTAAAGATAATTTCCAGTTCTTTTTTATTTCGAATCTTTCAATTGAAAATAAGAGCTATGAGTTAAAAAAATTTTTTTTTTGTTCAAAAATATTTCTAAATTTAGAATATTTAAAAACAAATTTGCTCTATAAAAATCGATTGGAAACAATAACAAACTTCTCTTATTATAAATTATGCTCCGTATCAGATAACGAGAAATGTTTGAATATTTAATGTGTCTACTAATCTATAACTCTGAATAAAACTATGAGTTTAATTGTCAGACCAATATTTAGGCTAAAAACAACTTACATTATAATAAAAAAAAAAATTTGAAATTAAAATTAATTTAAATTTTTCCGAGTAATAGTTTCAATCATTACTAATTTACATTATACAGTCCGAATAGTTCCTTAATTTCAGAATATGAACCTAATTCGAAAATATAAAGTTGACTTACTTTTATTTCAAGAAAAAAATATGGGTAAAGTTGAAGAGAACATATATTTGGATTATTAATATTTTAATTATTAATAATTCGTCATTATTAGTGCTTAAAGACTATTTTTGTCTTCATTTTTTCATATTTTTCTTTATCTAGATAAAAGGGTTCCTACGGAACCTGAAAATCATGTGAGTCATCGAAGAATTAGGGAATTTTTAAAAGTGCTTTAGAAATCATAAAAAAGGCCTGAAATTTTTAAATAGGATTTTCTTAGGCTTGTACACTCTTAACTTGAAAGTATCAAATTACATCGAATTGATTCCAAAAATGTAGATCAAATCATAAATTGATTCAACTTTTTGGTATCAATTTAATACTCCCAAAAAAAATTGTACATGAAGAAAGATTGATTGTTAAGGTTCCTGAAGTTGACATCAATGTTCAGCATCGAAAAATATTTTTATATATTTTTAGTGATAAAATTTTAACAAATTTTATATCTTTTATTCACCTAGAAAATAAACAACTTTTTAAGAGAACTTTTTTAACCTTAAATTTTGGAGAAAAAAACTTCAAGGACCTCTGATTCTTAAAAAGATTTACTCTTATATAACTTATATAAGGTAAAATATTGAGAAAATTATAATAGAACTGTTTTGAAATCATATTCACGACAAAAATAGTCAGAAGATACTTAACCGTCAAGAACTGTAAAAGAAAACTGTTGATGACCCAACAGAACTTCGGATGGTAATTCCCTGGAAGAAATTAAAAAAAAGACACTTGCAGTGGTCGACGCAAAATAAATAAGGAAAATTATGAATTTTGCTCGATTATAATAATCGCTACGAAAGCTTTCTTGAAGACTTCCTTGTAGGTATATATTTATGCATGTAATACAAAAATGATGCATGCTGTCGATAACTAATAATAATGATTAATGAAAACTGTTACATCTCAATTTTTGCTCAATTTGATATCCTTAGAAAAACTATGCTCCGATAATAAGTCACTTTTTTCGAAACATCTGGCGAATTGTCAATAACCAAAAAAATTTCTCAAAAGCAGAGCAAAAACAATTTTCCGGATTCTTTTCTTTAGGAAAATGTGTTTCTGCAGAAAAAGTTTTACATATGTACCT